TGGATCCCATCCCTGCAGCATGCCCACGTGAGCAGCCCTGAGCTTGCCTGGGCTGAAGCGTTAAACCTCACATTAGCACGTCTCAGTCCTAACTTGGTTCTAGGGATTTGCAGCAGGGTCCTGTGAAAAGCCTCACTCATTTACCCAACGGTCGCCATTCACGTGGCGAATCCAGACACCGAGGGAGCAAATACTACCTGTCCCCTTAGCCCCTCCAGCTGCAAGCTGGCCATTCTTATCCCATCTAAATGAGTTTGGGGGCTGCTAAGGAGGTTTTTTTTTTTTTTTGGCTGACCTAGGCCTGGGTAGAGTTAAGGCAGCACAGGCTGCCCGGCTTAGGCCAAGGGTTGGAGCTGGGCCCTGGTGAGGAACAGGCAGCGCGCAGCAGCCGCGTCCATCTAGCAGCTTAGCAAAATTGTTGCATGGATCTCTACCGTGCACCGAGCTCTAGTTTTTTGGCCATGAAACCCAGCCCAGAGGCTCCCCAAGCCCCTTTTTTTCCCCCCTCTGGCTGCTTGCACAGGGCTCATATCTCTCCTATATATTGGGACTCCCCCTGCACGGGGGCAGCGGGGTCCCCTCCTTATCCCAAAACACCAACAAAATCCTCCTTACGATCCTCTCTTGTGCTTCTGGGGGGGCAAAATTTCATCAGCAAAGTTGAGTGGCAGTCGGGTGCCTGGGCTCGTCGAGGTTGCCGTGCCAGTAATTTGCAATTAATATTCTGGGGAGCCCCGCTCGGGGGAAGAAGAAGCATCTTTATTGAAGGTGCTTGGTATGCCAGCTGCATGCAGAGCCGGCCGCAGCACCACCCAGGGCACGTTAATAGCGTGGCTTGGTCCCTTGGAGGGTTTAACCTGTTTTCCTGCAGGCTCAGTTTTTGGTTTTATTGGATTATTATAGGAAATGTTCTGCCCATAAAGTCTGGGGTGATCTGTGGGGTGGAAAGGGAATCCCCATCCTCGGGGTATTGGAGGGGGACAGGGCTCTGCTGGTGGGAAAATCTCCCTCCGGCAGCAGCGTTACCCCCCTCAAATGGCTTCAAAGCCCCAAATTTTGGCCAGTGGTTGACATCCAGCGGTTTGAATGGTCCCTGTTGGTCCTGAGCATTAAACAGTGGCTGAGTCATTTCTTTCTGCAGTTAATGATTGCCTGGGCCCGACGCTGCCAGAAGCGGTGTCGTGTTAATGATTAAAACCCGTAAATACGGGCTTGCTCATTCCACCCGTGTGAGGCCACTCTGTGACCTTCCCCCAGCTCCAGCCTGTTGCTGAGGGGGGGAAAAAAAAATATTCAGGAATAAATCCCATTCTGTCCCCATCACCCTTGCCCTCTTACTCTGTACGCTGAGAGCGTCGTGCTGGAGCGATGTTAAATAAAGTTTCAAGTTCTGTTTAAATTTGGACCGCAGAATTTATTCCGCTCGATGTTAAGCTTTTTAAAAGCTACGCCTGCCTCTCCCTTGTGTCCAGCAGGGCTTGTGCATTATCTGTCCATTACGGTAATGTTAGTATAAATAAACGGATGATTTAAGGTCGGCTCCTGTCTGCTCGTCCCTGAGTGCATCTCTACAGATGCAAGCAGCAAACTGCCGGAAGAGCACTTATTCTTTATCGTCTCTTTTGCAGAAGGGAAAGCGTGGTATAAAATTTTATTTGCTTAAGGAAAAAAAAAAAAAGTAAAATTTAAAGATCTCTGGATGTCAAGCGAAGGGGATTTTTTCCCCTTGCTAGGGAAAATGTTGCGTTCCTGCAGGTGCGCAACACGGGGGCGGGAGCTGGGAGAAGGACTCGCCGCTGCTTTTGCAAATGTGCTTTCATTCGAATGAAGGAATTTTTAAGGAGAATAAAAATAATTCCTGATTCACGCGTGGGGCTGCGGGGTCCCTGCACCAGCCATCCTCCTGGCCCGAGGTCCAAACGGCAGCGAAACTCGGCGTCGTGGAAAGCAAATCTCCCCTTTCCTGAGTGCGTTAATGGGGTCGTGTAGAAGGAGCCGGAGAGTTTTATTGCTGTTCCCATCCCCGCAGGCACAAATCTGGTTTTTTGGGGGGGAATGCGTTGTGCGGCATAATTAACCGCTTGCAGAATATCGGGTGTTAATTACTGTCAGATGGGGAACCGGTGCTGGGCGATGTGCTCGCGGTGTTCTGGCCTGATTTATGCTGCCCGAGGTTTGGGGTTTGCTCGTGGTTCAGTGGAGGAGGGGAGAGAGCCTGAAATTACTCCTAAACCCTAGGAGCAACCAAAGTTTTATGCTGAATCATTCTCTTCAATGTGGCTTCAAATTAACATGGAAATTTTAGGCAATGTTGAGCATTATCTGTGGACCTGATGGTTTAATTCTGCTGCTTTAGGCATCCTTTAGCAGTGTCGCAGCCTGGTTTTGTAGGGAAATACTGTTTCTCCCTTGTTCTTTCCCAGACTAAGCTGATTTCTGAATTAAAACAAAGAAAACATATTATATAAATAGGCGAATGCACAGAGGGTTAGTCACCAAGTGCCAAGATTTCCGTGTGCAACGAGTTAAAAATAAGCCCTGCGATCCCTTGTGCCGGTGCACGGTCAGACCTGATGGAAAGAGGTTGGAAAACCAAGAGAAGAGTCATGGGGGTGTTTTGCTGATGAAGGATACCAGTCAAGCTCGGACACCGGAGTGAGAAGAGTAGGTGTATTTTACTGGGGGTGACTGAATAATGTGAGTCACACAGAAAACACGCAGTAAGAGAAGATGGAACAACGCACTTAAAGCAAACAAACAGGAAAATTCAGGGTAATCATCCCCTCGTGACTCGGAGAGGGGGAATGAAGGAGGATCCATCCCCACTTGCACCCGTTCCCCCATCCCGACCCGCAGGCGCTGGGCAGCCCCGGGTGCAGGCAGGATGTGTTGAGCCTGTCCCGGCGAGTGGGAAATCCTCCGCGGCGCCTCCGGAGTCGCTGCCGGCGGGTCCGGCCTGAGGGACCAAGAACCAGCCGGGCAGAACAGCTGGCACCTTTGTTTGGGGCGGGAACCGCTGGTTTCACCCTCCTGTTGGATTCCGCCCAGAGCCTGGCCAGGGCTCGGCGCTGGGGGAAGGACCAAGGGAGTTTCTGACAAGGTTCTCAGCCTGGAACAAGGTAAACAAGGAGAGCTGGGTACATTCGGCATTTCACCCTCACCACGGATGATGTTCAGTCCAAGCTACATCTTTCATTAACGAGCATACACACTTCGTTAATGATTCCCTACTGCGTTAGCAGCTTCGGCTCAGGGCCTGTTGTTCAGGCTTCGACACTTCAGCACTTTTTCCATCGGCGTAGGTGGTTTGTTATAACCCAGCACACACCTGCTAGCGGGATGGTTATCAGTTATAAAATACACAGGATTCACCCAGAGGTCAGCTCTGGCTTGGGCCCGTTGTCCGAGCATTAGCACTTCAGGGGGCAAGTGGTGTTGGTTTGTTTTTTGTTTGTTTTTTTTTTAATTGACTGTTCTCCTGGCTTGCAGCATCCTTTGAAAAGGAAAGAAAGGGTAGAGGAAATATTTCATACATCTCCGCAGATGTCTCTTGCTCCGTGCTTTGTGTCGGGGTTTCTTACCTCGAGCAAAGGTTGGGAAAAGGAAATGCTCTGCGCTGGGGGTGCTATTGCCGTTTTCTTCCTTTGCGTGGGTGTTCACAGTTCTTCATTGTGTTGGCAAAAAGGAAGTCAACCAGGCTCCGAGACACTAAAAGTTCACTTTAGATAATTTATTTTTTTTTAAACGGGGAGAAAAGTTAACCGCTCTCTTTGCTTGTTCAGCCTGGTCACGGCTAGCTGTGGCTAAATCATGTCCAGAAATGTCATTTTTTTGGGGGGTCGTTTCACCCTGTTGTCATATTCTGGTGTAAAATCCTCAGCGCTTGGGCTCTGCTGCCCACTGAAAATTGTGTAACTCTCATCCCATCTCCGTGCTCACCCTGGCAGCTTATATACTAAGCGGGATATGATCTCTTCTGCTGCCCCGCGTTACGTTCGCTAAGAGCCGGGTTAATACACCTCCCACATCTTGGGGTGTAGCCCCAAGTCACTGTTATTTCTTCACACCTTGCTTTAAATTCTCCGTTTGGCCACCCCAGAGAGAAGCAGCATCTTCCTCCCAAGCGCCGGGGGTTTTGAAACATTTCCCAGGCCACAAGTCACATTGCGGACCGTGCCCCTTGTTCTTCCCACCTCTGATCTGCACCGAGGCAAGCTGCAGAAACAAAGGGTGCCCCTCTTTGCTGGGTGCCCCTCTTTGCTGGGTGCCCCTCTGAATCACTGGAGACCGACTGCAGACACAGCTTTTTCAAGCTTCACTTTTTGCTCTTTTCATCACTCATCACTTTTACGCTCTCTAGTACTCTGTGTGCCCATACAAACCCCTCCAGGAGCTGTGCGGTCTCCTGGTGACCGTTTCTTGCTCCCCACCCCTTTTCTTTCAAGCATTAAACCTCCCTGAGCCTGGGCGTAAAAATTTCTCTTTCCTTCTTCCTATTCATGCAAGCTCCGGGCAGCTCACGGGGGTGTTGCGAGGGAGGTGTTACACGCAGTAGCAAGCTAGGACAGGTAAATCTGGACATCGCCCTCCGGTCCTGGGCTCTGAGCAGCTGCCTGGGCGGCATCCGTCCCTTTTCTTGCTAGATTTTTGGGGTGCCGCTTCACCCTTTGCTGCTGCAGGAGGGCTCTTTCAGCACCCCGGCAAGGGCGGGAGACACCGCTTGCAACACGTGCGCTGTGTTTAAATTTGCTCGAGATCCCCCGTGCCCCGATTTTTGGACGAATTGGTGGAGCCAACCCACTTCAACAGCAGAGCTCGGTTGCTCTCGGCAGCCAGACCGCGGAACAGACGCAGCAAAGGGTTAACGCCGTCCGCTTGGGCCGCTGCCGCCTTCCCTGGGGTTGCTCTCTGCTCCTGCCAGGCGGAAGCCGGAGCGAGCAGTTGAAGTTCAAGGCTTGTTTGTGTCTGCATGTGTTGGCTGTGTCGGCTCGGCGGCGGAGGGCAAGAGCAGGCCGGAGCGGGGAGGGTCCGGCGAGCAGCGAGCTACAAGGATGGCTCAAGGCTCCGAGTGCCGGAATTCCCACCTCTATTACTACAGCATCAAATTTGCTTTGTCCACCTATGCCACCCTCTTCTCGGTAGGTGCTCCGGTTGCTTTTCTGTCCTTCCTGGCATTTTCCTCTCACCGTACCACCCTTGTGGGTGGGATTTGACTTTTCAATATCAGATTTCCCCTTCCAAGGCATCAGATCCTCGCGGCGAAACCTGAAGCACCTCGTGCTCGGCGCTCGCTGGGTCCAAAATGGGCAAACCCACGGGTTTCGGTGGGTTGAAAAGCCCCTCCTAGGGACTGCCCTTCCCCAGAGCTGCTCCTACAAATCCCTCGTGGCAGCAAGTCACGTCTTGAGGCATTTTGGAGTCTAAACATGGAAATTTAATGTTTTCACCCCGCAAGCACCCGTCGGGCTGCGTTGCCAGCCGCATCCCCCCTGCTGTTGCCTTTAAGTTGTTTGATAGGGACAAGGTATGAAAGCAGACATCGAGTGGCAGGTTTTTTAGCCAGGCTGGTTATTCTGAGAGGAAAAACCAAAGCTTGTTTTTAAGCAATGCTCGGAGCGAGGCTTTCCCGGCACCTGGGAGGTGCAAGCACGTGTCCGAGAAAGGGAGGGGGAAGGAAGAAATTCCCTGTCCCTTAGGGTCTGTGCATCCCCAGTAAACGGATGAGATAGGGAGTTTGCATCCTCCTGAGATTAATCTTGCATAATCCAGCCCGTATTTACAGATATTTCCTCCCGAGGTTTAAATAATCCTCTTTAACCCCACGCACGGCTGCCTGCTGGGCGGGTGTAGTGGTATGCGTATCTAATTGTATAGGTGTAATTGCAGAAATATCTGCGTGACTTCCCAGGCAGGCTGTGAATGATAAACGACGTTACAAGCAGAGCTTGAAAATGCTTTTTTAATTTTTATTTTTTTTAATTTTTTTTAAATGAATGAGATTGTTGGGAGGGCAGCACTCACTCTTGCTAGCCGGGGATAGCAAAGCCCGCTGTCTCACAGCGCGGAATGACTTGTGCCCACCCCAGGGCATGAATGAGAATAAGAAAAGAAGAGGGGTTTTGTACAATATCTCACTGATTTTCTCATGGCCTGATGGGTAGGAAAGCTCCCGAGGGGAAAGGAGACTCAAGCATCTCCCGGAGGGGTGGTCAGGACCCTCCCACTGCACCCAGTGAGATCAAACCCATCCAGATTTCTTAACCCGTTTGTGGCTGCGGTTTTTTTGGGTAAGGATGGTGCGATATCTTTGCTGGCCAAAAATCTGTGGGAGACCCTGAAGAGCTGAGTTTTGCTCGGTTTGAGGTTTCCCCCAACGCCTTTAAGCAACTGTAGGGATGGGGAGGAGGTGCAGGTCCTTTTCTCCCAATTAATCTGCAGTCAGGGCCACGCTTTGCAAATGTAGATTAATGAAGGCACGATCTCAATGCTGGATGCTTATTAATTGCGGGGGCATTTTGTGGGGGCTCAGTGGGGCATCCTGGCGAGTCGGCCAGCAAGAAGACACTCAAGAATAGCTGGAAAACAGCTTCAAAAAAGCCACTTTGGATCGCTCCGACCCAGCCTGCCTTCAACCCTGAGACGGTCCTGGCGTGGGGACGTTGGCCCCACTGAATCCGTGGGGATCACACGGCTCCTGCGAGCTTTTCAGCTGCCTGACCTACTTCTGGCCTCATTTGCACATGTCGTCGCCGTATTAATTCAACAGTGCTGCCGAACCCTTCAAAGCCTCATTAACCAGACCTGACGGGGACTGAGTTTCACTCGAGAAAAAGTGATTGTGTAGGAACCTCTCCCTCACGTTGCATGAAGGCTTCAAAAATTTAACACCCCCCTGGGTAAAAATTCAGTGAAATGAGACTCGAGTCGGTTCACCATGAAGGGTCAAGGAGGTTTGGGGTGAGATGCATCATGATTTTCTAGGGTTGCCCCAGCCTGCAGTGGATCTAGTGGCACTAGATCCTTTCCTGTAATGAGAGCACTCCTTTATAGGTAGGAAAATCAGTAAGTGGGTGTGGGATAAGCCAGAAAGGCTTCAAACCAAACGTGGAGCAGAGGACAGCGTGGTTCAAGTGCTGTGGGTTGGACCCAGGTGGTTTTATACAGGTAGATTTAATCCTCATTGTCGAGAACTCAGTGGAGCACAGATTTGCAGTTTTCTTTTCAAAAAGCGCTTCTTTCCTTTTCTTACTTTTCCCATAAAATTGAAAACTATTTTAATTGACCCTTATAAAAGCTTTTTTTTTTTTTTTTATATTCCTATGTACCGTCGGCAGTTGAGCATTATACGATGTATTTAATCGCTGTATTATTAATCCTGTGAGTCTGTCTTTTAATGACTAAAAGCAGTCAGCACTTCTTATAGTGCAGATTTTTTGTGATGTGCCTGCACGTTACGATAAAACCTTCTGAGGAGGAGCAGGAGTGCCCTGTCTGCTAATTTGAAAGCAGATGGGTCTTCAGAAGCGAGGAAGGACAATTTTGCTGTGAGCTGGGGATTTGAAAAACGCAGAGTTTTGCCCTCAGTTTTGAACCTCTGGTCACCTTGGCTGGGGGGTGAAGTGATGCCCCGTTCCCTTTGCTCCTCCCCAGACCAGTGCTCTGACTCACATAACGCGGCGGCTGGGGTCTGCGTGGGCTTGAAGCCACCGTCACCGTGACTTCTTGGTGTTCCCGAATGAGGAGAAATTACTGCCTCGCGTTAGCACGGCGTTGACTCATCCGATTAATGCCGTTCGCCCCGAAACGAGCCATGGCTGCTGCTCGGCCCTTGGCAGGCTTCAGGGTTGTGGTGTTGGGCCGTGTGAGCGTCCCCTTGGGTTCGTGGCACCTGTTTGCTCAGCGTCTGGCTGAGAGTAGCTCCTGTTACTTGGGTCTTTCGGGTCTTGGACGAGGAGAATGTGGCATCTCTTAGGTATTTAGTGGGAGTTTTAGAACAGGGTAGGGCTGACCGTGTCTCTTGTTAGCACTGGTAGGACTGTGCACGACTCCTGCTGCCCCTGTGCCAAAGCTAAGTCATGCAAGGATGGAGAAACAACCCCAAGCACCAGGGAGCCGGTGGCTCGAAGAGAGCTTGGCAACCTTCCTGTCTCACCCGTGGTTAGCTGCGAGCTCAAGCCACACGCAGGAGTCATATCTCTTTACTGGGCCACGAATAAACCAAGATACCAGCTTCCATATGAAATCCTACGTGTTACACACCAAGTCCAAGCTATATTTAAGCACCAGATCCCACGTTACACGCTTCCCTCGGCTCCGTTCCCCGCTCCTGCAGCAGCTGAAAGCGCCAACCGGTTTAATAAACACAGCAGCAAATGAAAAGACCTTCCGCAGTGCAATTGCATTACTCGAATGACAACTTGGCCTGTCTGGTTGGG